GACTGAGACCAGGAGGTCCTCGCACATCCAGAACTTCAAAATTCCATTAAACAGGAGCATGATAAAGTCTGACATAATCCATGCAGGTCAATAAGAAAATTGGCTAAGGAGGCCGGAACATTGGAGCGAACCATGCAGATAATATGTCGAAATGATCTTGGTATATCGCCGTACAAGATAACCAAGAGATCGCCTCTTTCAGGAGTCACAATGAAAAAGAGGCTTCAAAGAATTAAGCAGTTGTTGAAACGGAATCATAATTTTACGCTGCAAAACATCATCTTCACTGATGAGAAAATATTCATTGTTGAACAGTCTTTAAACATCGAAATGTCGCGGCATCAATTATGCTTTGGGCAGGCATTTCAAAAGGAAAGTCTCTTCTTGTTAAAGATCGACAAGCAAGTGTACATAGGTGATATTTTGGAAGGCGTACCCAAGCCGTCGTACAATACCGCTTATGTTGATGAACACTGGACACTTCAAGAAGACGGAGTTATGAGAAATACTGCACGTGTTACACAGCAGTGGTTCGGATACAATTGACTTGGTAAAGACGAATGGCCTCCCTCATCACCGGATATCAAGGCTCTTAACTGTTGTTTCTGGTCACTTCTTGAGAATAAAGTGTGTTCTACTTTGTACTACAAGATGAAGGGAAAACTTGAAGAGAAAATACGGTTTTAAGGTATGCCATATTTATGGGCTAAAGTGCTCAGTATGAGAGATAGAGCCTATGTAAATATAAAAGTGAACATTGAAGTGATGAACACTCAGAAGCGACAGGCGGTTTCCTGCTAAACGCAATCATCAGGCCAGGGATATTTTTTCTCGATAATTTATATATACTGAGCAGTGGTGCATTGTGGGTAGTTTATTCTAACGGTTATATATATATATATATATATATATATATATATATATATATATATATATATATATGACCGTGTCACCGACGACACCGGAGTTTGAATGTGAATATCTAGACAAAAAAAAGATGTAAGCCGTCATTTACTATAAATAGCGATGGTGAGGTGGTTACAATTAACTCATAAGTAATCAATAATCTTTTTGTTGACTCTTTACTTCTTTGTATTTGGTGCATTTTAATTGCGTTTGCTAATTAAATACTTTATTATTTTCATTGAAGTCTTTCTGCTACTACTTGTATCATGTACTTGTGACGGATTACAATATATATATATATATATATATATATATATATATATATATATATATATATATATATATAAAATAATATTAACTAGTTTCTTCCATTATTGACTAGTGATGTCATATGAGCAAATGTATTTACTAATAATGTTTGTTTTAATTCTTTCACACCAGCATTTTAAGTACCATTCACTATTAATAGTTGCAACTCCCATTAGTCACTGCAACCTTCAGCTAATTAGTGTTGCTAGATCACTGGTCCTCCACTTTGAAAATATCATCTGTCGTCTGCCATAGATGACTGCCAATGTATTGGTCCTTTCATCTATCTGCTGCGAATGGAGAACTAATGCTGGCTTCATGTTCTTTTGTCACTGAGTTTTACTCCTGGAAGAGGTTAGTTTTTTCGGACTCCTACTCAATAACCTGTCTGTCTAGGTTGGACCTGCCAGAAGATGAACTCCATCGCATATCGTAGCACGAAAAACTGTCCACCATGTGAAGATTTGGAATGGATAAACGGTAACAGTCATACAAAAGCAGTCTGAGAAAACGGCTCTTATGAAAATTATCCGCAATGTAGCAGTATTTAATAAAGGATTACTACTTAACAAAGTAATGTAAACAAATCTGTCCACTTAGAGTGGTTGCTTGCTAAACTTAACTTCACCAAGCATCTGAAGATTATATGGCTCAGAGCCAGATTCAACGCACTCGAGTATGAAATGTTTCTCGACAAAATTGGACGCACCATGGTTCTGTGGCAATACGCCACCAAGTACTGTTGTTTCTAGTCAATGCAATTCTCTATTTTATTATATATATATATATATATATATATATATATATATATATATATATATATATATATATTTAGTTGGATTGATGTGAGTTTGTGACCCTGGGTTTCACGCTTTTGCGATCGTCAGACAAACTGATTAATTTTTCAGAATTTTGGATTTATGTGGGTTGCGTGTATTGGTGTTATTAGACAAGTGGGGGTGGAATCGTCGTCGTGATGTCACTCATGCTAACGCAAACATAGATGCATGTCCGTACACCCATTGAAGTACGCAGACACACATACACACGCGATCGACCACCAGGGCTCACACAAGCGTAAACATATGTGGATAGTATGGGACTTGACATATGTATGTATATGTGGGCTGTTGTTTACATACATACGAATTATATATATATATATATATATATATATATATATACAAAATTCTCATCAATATATAAATATAATTATATATATATATATATAATAATAATAATAATAATAATAATAATAATAATAATAATGGACTCTCCCGTAGGGTTCGACGTATGAGGATCTGACAGCTTATTGATTCATTTATGAAATTTTGTGCGATAATCTTAAGTGGCTTTTAAGACCCGCTAGTGATTTACAAAGGAGGCCATATATGGAGCAAGGATAAGAGCGAATCAGGGTAACCCCCCAGAAATCCCACACAAGTGATTTGATTAAAGTGGTGAAGGCTTGTGCAGAACCATCCACACTTTTCAGAACTATTGATAGACTCAGTCGGTGCAAATAATAATATATATATATATATATATATATATATATATATATATATATATATATATATATATATATATATATATATATATGTGTGTGTGTGTATATATATATCATCGTGTACATAAAGTTCGTGTGCACTTTAAAAAATTATAACTTTATTTGTATTTGCGATAGAAATATCTGTAAAAAATGTTATAAATTTTAATGCAACTAAAGTACAGTTATTGAATAATTCTTTACCACAGAAGTTGCAACAATTTTTAGATAAGTAAAAAAAAAAATTCCTTTTTTCCAGAACCATTTCCGGACCATTTTATTGGCCTCATTTGACTCTATTAGATTTTTTTATGGGGACACGTGAAAAGAATTGTGTATGCAACAAAACCTAGTTCATTAGAAGATTTGAAAGCTAAAATAACTAATGTGATTTCAGGCCTTACTGTAAATCAGTTGGCAAATGTTTTCCGTGAACTGCAAAATCGTATTAGCCTTTGTATTGCTAATAATGGAGGACATGTGGAAAATTTCAATAAAACCTTAAAACATAGATTTACTTCTTTCTAATCCTTTTTACAAATTATTTCTATCGCAAATACAAAGAAAGTTATAAATTTTTAAAAGTGTACACGAACTTTACTATATATATATATATATATATATATATATATATATATTTAGGCAGCATATCTTTCTTCAAACATGGTTCGTTGAATAATATCGATATATTGTGCTAATTATTTTCTACTGATCCTTTCCACTTGTTTGTTGGTGTTAAGATGGAATGCATCAAGGAAGGCCTTTTGGACCTTTTCTAAGATCCTCTTCAGGAATAAATTAGAAAGACAGACATATTGTGGATGTGATAATATCTGCATTCCGTCGTCATAGTGATTTTTTTATAAAGACGCGAGAACACAGACTATTATAATTATTTTAGAATTTTTAAATTTATCTGTCATAATCATGGAATTTTTCTTGCAAAACAAGCGTTTCAATATACAGGAGCTGAACGGGAATTGGTAGAAATGTAAAACGGCATTAGTATTTAAATTTTATATGTCCTTTGATATGTTGTTTCTGTGTTCGTTATAAATTTTGTTGAGTATTGCTTGGTTGGTTTTGATATTGAGGGTCTGAAGAATTTGAAGTTTTTTGTGTATTTTCATAATATAGGAAATACTTGTTGACAACACCAATATACTACACCATGAAAATAATAAAACAAAAACTTCAAATTCAATATCTATCTATCTATCTATCTATCTATCTATCTATCTATCTATCTATCTATCTAAGTCTCTATCCATCTAAATTCAATATCTATCTATCTATCTATCTATCTATCTATCTATGTCTCTTCATATCCATATAAATTCAATATCTATCTATCTATCTATCTATCTATCTATCTATCTATCTATCTATCTATGTCTCTTCATATCCATATAAATTCAATATCTATCTATCTATCTATCTATCTATCTATCTATCTATCTATCTATCTAAGTCTCTTCATATCCATCTAAATTCAATATCTATCTATCTATCTATCTATCTATCTATCTATCTATCTATCTATCTATCTATCTAAGTCTCATCCATCTAAATTCAATATCTATCTATCTATCTATCTATCTATCTATCTATCTATCTATCTATCTATCTATCTATCTATCTAAATTCAATGTCTATCTATCTATCTATCTATCTATCTATCTATCTATCTATCTATCTTCTATCTATCCATCTAAATTCAACATCCATCTATTCATCTCATCTATCTATCTATCTATCTATCTATCTATCTATCTATCTATCTATCTATCTATCTAAGTCTCTATCCATCTAAATTCAATCTATCTATCTATCTATCATCTATCTATCTATCTATCTATCTATCTATCTATCTATCTATGTCTCTTCATATCCATATAAATTCAATATCTATCTATCTATCTATCTATCTATCTATCTATCTATCTATCTATCTATCTATCTAAGTCTCTTCATATCCATCTAAATTCAATATCTATCTATCTATCTATCTATCTATCTATCTATCTATCTATCTATCTATCTATCTATGTCTCTTCATATCCATCTAAATTCAATGTCTATCTATCTATCTATCTATCTATCTATCTATCTATCTATCTATCTATCTATCTTCATATCCATCTAAATTCAATATCTATCTATCTATCTATCTATCTATCTATGTATCTATCTATCTATCTATCTATCTAAGTCTCTTCATATCCATCTAAATTCAATGTCTATCTATCTATCTATCTATCTATCTATCTATCTATCTATCTATCTATCTATCTATCTATCTATCTATCGCCGTGTCTTCTAATGTATCGCTCTATGAAAGAAGAGTGCTCAATATCACAGATTGAACGTTTGAAGCCATAATCAGTGTGGTCATAGAAATCAATACTACATGGTGAGTAACATTTTCACGCCATGAACGATCATCAGATCGTTTGTTACTACTCTATATGTGTTTCATATATAGGCGCTTAGAGAAAGTGGAAAGCAAGAGAAGGCCTTTAATATGCTTGTGTTTATTATTTGTAAAATTTTAGAAGTAGTTAACCGCCTCCCCAGAGAATTGCCCTTGGTGTAAACTCTAATAGCGATATGAATAGAAAAACAGTTCCTTTGGCACACCGTTTTGTTTTGTCGGTTACTTATGTTAAACTTTGCCGAATGTTTTTAGTTTTAATAATATGACGTGAATGGTTTGCCTTTTGGAGGGAAGGAAATTATTTTCTGACACTCTTTTAGACCATTTTCTTTATTAATGAAGGTGTTCAGCATGGCTTAGTTCAGCTTTTTTTTTTAATAATTTTTATCAAATACCTTTCTTTTGGCACCAGCCCTCAATTTGGTATATCTATACTGATGGCACAACCATTTATTCTTGATAGTATGACCGATCGAATCGATGTGGTGAAATTGGCGGCTGATGTCAAAAACGACCGTTTGTCTATTGTTAACTGGGGCAAAGGATGGCATGTTAATCTTAGCGCCTCTAAAACTAAGCTACTTTCTATTAATCATCTGAGAACCCTTTTTTGCTTTCCATCGGCATGGCTGAAGCTAACCTCCAGAAGAGTGACTTGTTCCGCCTTGTCGGGTTCGCATTCTCGGTTGAGATGAATGGAAATACTATATTAAATCCATTGCTTTGTCTCTTGCTAAGAAAGATGGTGCGCTGTGTTGTGATAGACAATTTTTTTCTCCAGAGTTTATCTTACATATCTACCATTCATTCATGCTTACAATACTGCTGCTACATTTGGTCTGGTGCTCCTGCCGTATATCTAGATATCCTTTATAAAATCCAAAGAAGAATCAGTAATATTATTGGTCCTGACCTGCATCTCGGCTTCTATGACTTTCTCACCGCCATAAAGTTGCTTCCTTGAGCCTTTTCTAAAAATACTTTCATGGTAATTGTTCAGATGTAATCTTCGCAATGGTGTGTAGACTTTATGAATTTAAGCGCAGTATTTGATTAGCAACATGGTTGCATCAATCTATACTTTGAATTGGCTAGATATAACCGTAAGTGCTATACGAACAGTTTCTTCTCTCGTACTTCTTGTACTTGACTCTTCCGATCTTTAATAATTTAAATGCAATGTCAATCGTCATCTGCCTTTTTACTGATTACTTTTATGTTCTCACTCCTTAATGTTTCTGTTTTCTGTTTTCTAATTATTTCGCAATCATTAACCCATTGTCTGATATTGGTTTTACTAACTTGTGTGGTGAATTTAAAAAAAAAAGTATTTTTAATGATTCGACTTTTAGTGTCAATTAAAACTGACATTAAACGAATCATTAAAAATATTTTTTTTTTATCAAGAAGTGGCCATTTTGCTTTTATTTTCTCTAAAAAGAGTTCCAGAAGTTAAGCAATGTATTAAAAGAACACAAAAATTTCATTAGAAACGAAGAAAAGTGTACTGAACTATTATTTTATATCAGTTCTCCAATAGGACAAATGCTGAAAAATCTGATAATAGATGTTAATGAAACTTGAAGATGTAGTTCTACAGATGGATGCTGAAAAGAACATGGATCGAACATGTAAAACACAATGAAATTTTAGAGAAAATGTAAGCAAAAATGCCACTTATTCTTAATATAAGAAAGTGACAGTTGAAATTTCTAGGGAAGCTAATGAGGAAAGAGGGCTTGAAAAATTTGATACTCACAGGTCAGATTGAAGGCAAGAGGAACAGAGTAATTGAAAACTTAACCTACCTAGTGAGCTTGAGTAAATTGAGTATAACAGGCTTTAGGAAAGGTAAGACAAAGATAAAAATTTATTAAGATGTACAAAAGACAGGAAATTGGGGAGAGTTATGATCGCGGCATCAAATTTCTATAATAATAAAGCGCAGTGTACGTGTGTCCGTCTGTTTGTCCGTTTTTCGATCTCGGTGAATCATGAACAACCTGAAGTAACGGATAGTATGTGTGGAGTAATCTATGGTTACCTTTCTTGTCAAGAAATGGTATCGGCCTTCGCTATAAAAATGGAGCATGGATGATGAGAAGACAGATTTTAAATTCTACGCGTTAACGAGATTGGACGTCAAGGCAAACAGACATAGACTTCATCTTCTTTTCTTTCTCTCTCCTGTAATTTAATACATTTAAATTTCTCCATATGGTGTCAGGAAGAACTTATGTCACATAGTGCCCGAAAGAAATAAAAAAAACAAACGTTACCACGAGAAAGAAAAGGCGTTGGAATATACAAACGGACTAAAAAAATTACAAGAAATTGTATGTCATTTATTTAAAAAAAAAAAAAAAAAGAATTATTCGTGTTTAAACTATAATAGTGTATAAAAAAAGAAAACGAATTTGTTTTCTTTGTTAAAAAGAAAACGATGTTTTCAATTGATAACGTATCCATTGCAAAAAATTCTAAGCATGGACACAAAGCAATTTGAAGAAATTGTTCAACCTCCTGCAAAAATGGTTTTATCAGGGAATTTCAGTTATGTGCCTTGCGTGATACAAGCTTAGGCGATCATGTATCTTTCGATGCAGATTTTTCCCTCGTTAGATTGCCATTACTTTCTCCGGTAGACCAGTTGCCATCCAATGCTATATAACCCGGTCTGTCCTGCTATTTACTCATAGTTAGGGAAAAATATGAGGATTCATACCTTTCCCAAGGGTGTTAGCACATAAGTGAATGTAATGTATTCGACTGGAATTCGAACTCGCCTCAATCGAAGCCGCTATCCATTACTCCATCGTACCTCCTGACATGAAGCGTACGAAGCTTACAAATTCCATATTTGAAAGCAAGAAGCTTCAGTGTGTATAGAGGCATATATCGCTGCGCTCCGGTAGTTAGTAAAAGGGTGCAGTCTTCGGGAAATGCAAGACAGGTTAATTCGAGACCAAATAGTTGTAGGGGTTAAAGATAATATCTTCAGGGAAATTTTTTTTAAAGGATGTTTAGAAATAGAGTACCCGCTGGGATAGAAGTCACAAAAGCCCCTTCAATGAAGCCTAGTTTTTGAAGACAGATCCATCAAATTGTTTTAAATTAAGATTACTTCTTAATTTGGTTTACCCATTTTTTCTCAAGAAATTCCTTGGGGTCGAGTTTACATCGCTTCCCGTGTCAACCTGCATGGGAAAAGGCAAGTCATTCAATTTTACCGTCTCTCTTTTTTTTGCAGATGTCATTATCGAATATACTTATTGTTGTGACCACGTAAATGGTTAAAGAAATAACAAAACAAGTGTTGCAGATATATAATATATTAACAATAAGTACAACAGAAGTGTATTATACGACTAGTGAGTGTCGGTTGACCCAGCGTTCAATCTATGCGACTGTTCCCCCAAGGCCTTCTCTCCTACTAATCTTATAGTAGGCGGATGTGTCCAACATAGACTGTTGAAAGGGAGGACACCACAAAACTTATATATATTTTCAGTATGATGGTTTATACTTTCTACTCTTTCTATTTTCTTTTTGTATCTGCACACAAATTGGGAATAGTCTTTTCTTTTGTAGTTTAAACGTAATTTTCCTAGGGATAACGATTTGTTTGTATTTCTTTTGTGTTCTTTGTCGCAATATTTTCACTTAATTGGGATTTTAGTTGTGTTGAATGCTTCAACATTGTTTTGAAAATTATTAAATTCATTAATTAATTCTAATTGCTGCAAGAATTCTACACTTGCTTCAAAATTCGCTTGTAGCAATTTTAGGATCTTATAATTATATGTAACGTCATACATGCCTCCAATTAATCTTAGAAGAATCAATTCGTCTTCTATAGACATTCCTTGCGAATTCAGTTTTTCAAATTTACAATATCTTGACGCCTATTTCAACCCGTCTAAATTATGCATTACGGTTTCATTTGGGTTCTATGTTACAGGATGTTTGTTTTTTTCTGCAATAAACTGCTTTTTTGGTCACATGTATCTTTTTATAATGGTTGAAATTTCCTCATAATTAAGTCTTACTTGGGTACACTATAATGGATATTTTCTTTATGGCTTCACATCCTACCGAGGCGAAAAATAAATCAGTAATTTCATTCTCTCCTCCGGAGGCTTTCTTATAATTCAGTTTCTTTACCCTAGCCAAGGTTGTTAAACATCTAATCTAAGTTTCTACATTCTCTGGTTCGTGCAACGCGATTAAGAGTCCCATCGGCGACGCCATATTGTTATGAAGTAGAGTACTCTCTGGTATAGACGTCGTCAGATCAACATATGGTAGCTCAACTGACACTCGCTGTGGCATACTGCTTTTATAAGCAGGATAAAAGGCTTACCCCAGAACTTGTGGGCAACGACGAAGTTTTCGAGAAAATAGAAACAAATGAACACTTTCTTTTTGGAATTAAAATGTGTTCACACCTCGCAAAATTTTATCTGATAAAATGTAAATAACCGTGAAATCGAAGTCAGAACATTATCATCGATAACTATCTCCTCTAATTTACGGATCCTAGTTACTATATTCTTAATACGTGATATAATGCAAAACTATCACAATGACAAAATAGATCAATAATCATACTTATTATAAAACCCAGGTTGTGTGTGTGTGTGTGTGTGTGTGTGTGTGTGTGTGTGTACGTTTATATATTGGATCGGATTTCCTACATTTTTAAACCGATTTCAACAAAACTTCACAGGACTACGTAAAATTACCTTGTGATGGTTCTGACAGTGACAAAAATTGGAAAAACACAATTGTCTTTGCACAAAATCAATTTGAAAACACGATTAAGATGCATCGCTTTCGAGGAATGAAAATGGGACAACTCATATCGAGTTATACCT